TAAAACAAAAATTAAGTATTATTTATGTAAAAATCAATTTATTTTAAAACAGAATATTTTTTATATTAAATATATTATATATTGAATATTCTACTTTAATCTTAAATCATGTTTATTTGAAGGAATTTAATATAAAACCGATATATTAATAAAATATATCTTAATAATAATATATTAATAAAAATAAATAAATAAAATTGAACATTTTTTATATAGTTGTTATTAACCGCAAAAGCAACTCTTTCAATGGATATTATATTAAATAAAATGATGTAAAAATAGATATATTTTTAAACTTTTATTTAAAAATGTTATCTTTGGGATGGAATGTAAAACAGCTTTTTTTTGCAACTTATTATGAACATTTCTCTTTTTTTACTAGAAGTTTATATAAACATCTTATAATATACAAATGCAATATGCAATATAAATGTATATATTTAAAAATTGAATTTGATCAAATATTATAATCAAATTTCACTAACATTTGAATAAGAGACAAATTTATGTTATAACCCAATTCATAACGAATGACAAAAAAAATTATTTCAAAATAAAAAATAACTAACTGCAAATATATTTAATAAAAAAAATTAAATTTTAATTTAAATAATTATATAAAGCATTAAAACAAAATTTTATAAGAAATCTCTGTAAAAAAAACATTGTAGCATTTTTATTAACAAATTCTTAAATACGAATTAAAATGACTATTAAAATTATATTATAATTTAAAATTTCATAACAGTTTTTTTTTATTATAAAATTATATATTTTTGTTAACAATATATATTTTGAAAAAAAAAAATTAATTAAAATAATTTTACAAAACAATATAGATTTTTTTTCAAATTTTTTATTTTTAAATACAAACAAAATAAATTAATTTCGATACTTAATATTACTTCTTAAATATTTATATATATATTTTATAAAAATGTAAGTAAATATAAAACGTGTATAAATTATTAATTTAATTTTTTAATGAAAATACATGAAAAATTAATATGAAATTGAAATTATATTTTAATAATTTAAATGAGTTTTTTTATTTAAAATAAAACCTTAATAATAAATATGAAAGGTTAAAAAACAGTTTGACAGAAATGACCATATCAAGCAAATGTGAATTAATAATTGCTCTAAACTAGAGGTTTAAATATTATTCGGATCACCGGAAGCTTTGAGAATTCTGATGTTGAAGAATGTTTATGAATGATCACACAATAACCCGCTTGAGAATATTTGAATATATATAGTTCGAAATGGATTTTTATTCAAGGAGTTCAAAAATTTATTGCAACATTATAAAGTCTCCTGTGCTTTACATATGTTCAATTTAGGTGACAGTACATATGTTTAGTTAAATATATAGTTATATATATATTAATAAATATATTTTATATATAAATATATTTTTATATTTTTGTATTATATAAATATATTTATATTATATATATATTTATAAATATTTACATATATATATATTTATATACATATATTTATATATATAAATATTATATCAAGATTGTTTATATAATATTTATTACTTTAAAGTTAGAAATGTTCAGTTTTTTAGAATATCTGGAATAGTTTATAATAACATGATAGAAATCACCTAGTTTATTTAATATTGCTTGATTGTATGAAAGTAATGCATCTATTAGTACCACCACTGAACTAGTATAGGTACATTACCAGTAAAAATTTTAAAAATATTAGACTTTATTGTAAAGATTAAGTATCAATTACGAAGTACTGAAGAGACTACCGATCAACTATATAAAAATTCTTATTCTATTATATTGCAAGAATCAATTATAAAAATAAGAGATTATTAACTAGAGAATTTTAATAGTACATTTAACAACGCTACCTGAAGCTATTATCATTGAGTTCTCTAATGGTTCCCAAACGGTATATAAACACTGCTTCATCAGTAATAGAGAAATAGGAGTAGAAGAAATATGTGCAAATCTGAGAGAAATGTCAGAACGATACATAAAATATATATACTAAATAAAACAAAAGATATCCAGCGCAGAGTTAGAAGTGTTATAATAAGTGTTAATAAACACTAACTTCAAATAAATAATACCATATAATATCTAATGGAAATACTGGGAATGTGCCAAATAAAAGTACAAAAAGACATTTTTGCCTATAGAAATAGTTTGGACGGCCCGTTTTTCCTACTGACACATGTTAAAGGAACCAAACCATAAAATAGTTAAGAATCTCTATACATTTTTTGAACAATTTCTTACAAATACTTCATAAACAATTTCAAATATAAATCTATTATAAAACCTTAGTATTGAATATTTAAACAATAAGGATAGAAATATCCTCAGAACTCTAGGGAAGGTAACAGAATTTTAATGACTATATGTTATTAATTGGAACGGTGACTATCTGGTAATAGTATAATTTGCTGTAAAGTTACTTTAATATTATAAATTAATAAATATATCTGTAAATAGATATGTAACTTGAACATTAAGATAAAAAAAATGTATTATGAAAAGTGATAATGACAGATATAACTGGAAAGCATATATAATAATACTGATAACTTGGCGTTGAACTAAGAAACAACTGTAAAGATTGTATAATTACTAGTGCTTGAAATATTATACGAGCTGTTCGAATATTCGGGCAGGATGCTCGAATTGATCATTATATTGTGTTCGAATATGCTTACACAACATAGTGTTCAAGTATTTCCTGATATACCAATTTGTTTAAGCAAAAATAAAATATTTTATTGTTTTGAATTAACTTTCTGTTAAGGTTTGTGTGAACTTTTTTATTTATTTATGCAGTATATTTATTTATATAGTGCTTTTCTATATAAAAGCTGTCAATGTGTGAAAGAGTTTTAATTTCTTCATCAGAATATTATTATGAAAATATAATCAAATTTACACTTCAAGTAGTTAGAATATCTCCGTATAGCTCGATTATTTCCAAACATTTGAACTGTTCAATCCAAATATTCAAGTTTGAGTAGATCGATCTAAGTGCTCGAATAATTCGAATATTTGAAGTGTTTAATACAAATATTCGAATTCTACTAAGATCGAACTATTCAAATAGTTTGATACTCAAGAAACTTGAGAGCGCTAATATATACTTTTTAAAAACCAAATCACTTGATTGTAGAGAAATGATATTGACTTTAAGTAACTAAAACCAAGTAAAAAAAATAATAAAATAAAATCATAAACGCTGTATTGAACTATGAATAATTTTTTGTAAAAACATATATATCAGATCTTTTAATTATCAACAGAACTTTTAAATATGGACTTAAAATTTCATTTTTCAAATGTTAAACATAAGTAGAATCGATTTAGTATTTAAGAGCAAATAAAAAAAATCTATGAATATTTTATTACAAAACCAAATTATTTTAGAATTAAAAACAAATTTAAATTTTTATATAAACTTTTAATTTAAACTTAAATAAAATAACATAAAAAATAAAAGAACATAAAAATTTGCATGTGTTAATAAAATATTTATTTAAACACATTTTTTTTTTTTGCAATTTAGAAATTTGAACAAAATGTTATCTTAAAGAAAACAATCAAGATTTCATAAATTATTATTGTGTAGAAAATATTATTCTGTCTTCTTTTACTTTACATTTGTTTTTTGAGCTGTTTTTATAAATTTAAAAATAACTAAATCAATTTAATAACTATAACTTAAATTCATATGTTTACTAAAATTACATGTCTATGCACAATTTCGCAACGAGAGGAGTATACATATATGTACATATATACAATCGGAGCGAATTTTAAATTATAAGTGACTTTTTCCGTAATATTGTCTTTCTCTCATTACTTAGAGTACTATGCTTTGGCGGACTTTTTTAAGGTCCATTGCTAGTCTAAGTAAGGTAGAGTATATGAAAAACATTTTTTATGTATAACAAAGTTAAACTAAATTGTTATTTAATAATAACGAAAATTAAACATTTCATCTTTTTTATTAAAATTAATAGTTGTGGTTTCTTCTTATTTTAAGCAAATAACTTAAAAATATGTTAAGAAATTAAATAAATTATATTCAAATTAATATAAAAATCTGATTATAACTAATTTTATTGAAAAGGAAAAATTTAATTAATTTCCAATTGCTTTTTGTTTTAAGCGAAATTACAATATACAATATATGATTTTGTTTTTACATTTTCTTTTTTTTTGTCAATTTGATTGATTTATTTTGTGCTGTTATTTAAAACTAATATTTATTTACAGTTTTTATTTTTCATTTATTTTGTTTACTATTAAACTTCAGTTGTTATAATATATTTAATAACAATTTTTACAACTTTTTTGTTTTGACAACAAATAGTCAAACCGTATAAGTTTTTTAATACTAAAGAAAAAAAAAGAAACGAAAATATATTAAAAAATTAAATATTGAGAAAAAAAGAAATATTTTCAAAATAAATAAATTTAAAATTTTTCCTATTGTAATTATTTTTAATTATTTGTCTTAGAAATAGAATTTCTTTTATACTTCTCGTATTTTTGTATTGTTATACATTTTTATATTTTTAAACACTTAACTTGCTAATTTCTTTCAAAGAATTTCTAAAATTGTTGTAGCTTCTTTAATGTTTGTTTTTATTATTCGTTTTAAGCAACCGTTTAAACTACTAATTTTTGTTAATTTCTATATTAAATTTCTTATATTCAAAATCCTATTTTGCTTGCCAATTTTATAACAATTATAATGATGACTACAGTTAAACAATTAATAACAACAGCAACAACATTAGTAGCACTAATCTACACATTTAAGAGTTCATTAAACATTTTGAAAGCTTCCATAGCAACTGAAACTCGGAAACTATAGTTTATTGTATTGTATAACATATAATTTCATTGAAATATTTATTTCGATTTCGATTTTAATATTTATATGCGGCATATAATTTCAATTTTAATTTTCCTCCTCATCCTCTTTGAGCATATATTCCAACAACAGTTCATACTCAACTCATCCCTCGCTTATAAATTCACTAGGCGATTCAACTTTTACTACACCCATTTGTTGCAGTTCTTCGCGCGTTACGGGCTGTGCAGTTGTACGGATCTGTTGTTGTATTGTATGGCCGTTAGTTTGTATTGTGGCTGGGTGTATACGTCCGACGACAACCCCGCCCATAGTTACTAAATTACCATCGGCAGTAATGCTACTTAACTGCACATTCGAGAGCTCCCCTAATGATGTGACATTGAAATGTTCCAAAGTGGCGGACGGTGTTGTTATAATAGTATTCTGATTATTATTAGCATGGTTATGATTTTGTTGCTGTTGCTGGGCGGTTGTTGCAATACCTGTTGTAGCTATAGACGTTGGAATTGTAGTTGTGGCTATAACATTCCGATGGTGATCACTAGAGGTTTGATTTGCGCCAGCAATCACCATATCCTCTAGTCATCCCTCTTCTTCCTCAGTTTTAATTTTAACGGGTACATAAACCTTATCCATAACATGAATCTTTATATGATTGTTAAGTGTGCTAGACTGTCGAAATTGTTTTTTGCATACCGCACATTCAAAAGGTTTTTCACCTAAGCAAACACAAAAGAAAGGAAAAATTTAATTAATTTAGTGGAAAAATTTCTTTTTTAACTTCAATATTATACCTGTGTGTATCTTGAGATGATTCGTCAGGGTACTTAATTGCCGAAAATTTTTTGGACAATATGTGCATGTAAACGGTTTCTCGCCCGTGTGAATTTTTAAATGATTAGTTAGTGTGGACGATTGACGAAATGTCTTTTCACATATATTGCATTTATAGGGCTTTTCACCTGTATGTATCTTAACATGATTGGTTAAGGTACTTAGTTGTCGAAATCTTCGTTCGCATACATTACACTGAAAGGGCTTCTCATGTGATGTACCAGTGCCATTGTGTCCATTCGAAACCGGAGTATCATGCCCGCTTACTTGCTGTTCTGAAATTGCAGGACTATTTGCTGCTGTTGCCACAAGATGTGCCAGTGAATGCTGTTGAAAAATAGCATGATGCGTAACTGTTACTCCATTTCCCTGCTGTTGTTGTTCAGCAGCTGCTGCTTGTGCTGCTGCCGCCTGTGCTGCAGCCATTGCAGCAGCCTGTGCTGCTGCGTGTGTTTCAGCATTTACAGTAGTGAGATGCATATTGAATGGTAGTGCTATTTCAGTTGTAGTTGGCGGTTGCTGTTGTTGTTGTTGCTGCTGCTGTTGTTGTTGTTGCTGTTGTTGTTGCTGCTGCTGCTGATGCGCTCCAGTTGTGTTTTCGTTGCTACTAGCTGTATTATTATTATTGCCATTTGTGTTGACATTATTTGCTGTTGGCGATACAATAACGATCTCACAATTGGAGAGTTGCGCAGCGGCTGCGTGTGCATGTTGTAGAGTTTTAATGTGCATTATTGTTAATAAGTTTTTTAAGGACTATAATTTTATTTTATTGTTTTGTTTTGTTTTGTTTTTTCAGTCAATGTTTTAATACATTGGACTACTGTTAATCTTTCAATTTGATCTTCTAAAATGAATTCACGATTTAGGGAAACCTTGTAATGGTTATATCATGGTTTGGTATGGCGTTGTCTTCTTTAAGTGCTAGTTTCTTTCAAAACTCACTTTTGCGCCTTTAACCTAAAATATAAATTAAAGTTTTTAATTACATTTTATTATTTTAAATAAAATGAAAAATATTTTTAAATTTAAAATTTATTAACATGCTCACACCAAATCAGAACTGCAATATCTTAACACAAATGCAATATTTATTCTATCAGAAAGATAAGCTGAACTTCAAAATGTACTTCTGTTAAATCACCTACATAAAATGATAATCATAATTGGTTCCAAGAACGGCCGGGTCTACGTCCCGGAGCCACTCGTCAAAGACGACCAAGTGCCGTTCGACCACCCCCAAGGCGGGTTGCAACAACAACAACAACAACAACATAATCCTAATTCAACACAGTTCTTGTGACAGTCGATCAGCCAAGTGGTCACAGACACTTTTGAGTAAAAATGCTTTAGAGTAACTCGCCTTTCATAAGTCAAAAAAAAAAAATAATCACTATCCCACAAAGAGAGTTGCGTTCCTTTGCAGCAAGAACTGTTCTAGCTCAATTGATATCAATATATAGTCATGTGCTAAATATTTACTTGACACGCATAAATGCGTCAATACCCAATGTAGGTATGCTTGAATTGCAGCTCTACCGCTATGATGTCGCCCACCTGTTTTCTTGCCCCAAAGCACACCAGAACCTGAGTTCAATCATTCTTTAGACCTACCCCACAAAAGTTGATAGGTTTCTTCGTCTTGATCCAAGCTGACTTCAATTTTAATCACATCCACCCCTCTTTCCACTCTGCCTTCCAAATAATTCCCACCCTTCTCACACAACCAATACCCATCCACATTGTAACCCATTTATTCTTAGTGTAAATGTTTTCAAGTTATCTTCTTTATAGATCCCTGCGGGTTAGTACAACAACTAAGAATTAACATTAAAAATTAGCACAGTTTTCCTCTATATATAAAACAAATTAGTGTTATATATTAGCAAAAAAGAACGAATAAAAATCTGGTTCTAATTTTTTAGCTATATATATATATAAGTTCATTTATAGGCAAGTGACACTTATAAAGGACTGAGTGAAAAGACTAAATCATTCATCGGGATTTACACTAACATCTACATTTTAATATTACTCACCAAGCTATAATTTTGATATCAAAAAAACTTTGAATATTTTAAAAAGCTTATATGTTTTTTCCACATAAATAACCACACAACTTACCGAGTTTGTTATATCCCTATTATATCTTATACAATAACTTATATCCCTATCCCTAGTTTGTTGCCCTATCATATTTATAGGGCATAAATATCATATTTACAATTAATTATATATTTGAAGCCACGACAATCTTAGATAATTAAAATTCGGAAACTTTTATAACTAGCTTATCTCCCATAAAGAAAGATAATAGTTGTTTGTTAAAGTTCATAAGTTGAACATGATATATTACAGTTTATATATAAATATTTAAAAAAATAAACAAAAATTAAGAAATATACTGATCGTAATAAATTAATCCAACAAAGCCATAGTAATTACATGAAGATATTTATTACATGTACAATTTTGATAGGTATATATCCTAAAAAAATTAAATTTTTAAATTAAAGTGTCCTAGAACAGTCTGATATAATTTATAAATAAACGAAAAACTGCTTTCCAACAGATAAAATAATAACGGTTTAAATAAATATAAGACCAAAACTAATAAATTTTAATTTATTACGTTTTGTTAGCCGAAAGAAATAAGTATATAACCATGATAAGATATAAATATCATGTTAGAAATATCGATCTATAGAGTTGCAAATTTTTACATAAAAACAGTAACAAATAGTTGTTGTTGTTGTAACCCGCAAAGATCTGTAAAGCTGATGACATTAAAAAAATTACATAAAAAATACATGGGTCAGGATGTGGATTGGTATTAGTGGTGTTAGAGGTCAGGGAGTGAAAGTGCATTAAAATATGGGTGAGAATAAAATGAAAACCAACCAGAATCAAAACGGAGAAACCTAGCTTCTTCTATCGAACTAATAACTAGTTGTTGTTAATTATTCGTTTATATGTTCAATGTAAAAAAATGTGTACTAATTGGCACTAGATGGCGCGTTAAGCTGTTTGTGTTATTAATATAGTTTTACAACTTGAAGACTCACTATTACATAACGAATACATGGGTAACAATGTGGATGAGTATAAGTTGTGTAAAAAGGAAGGAGATTATTTGAAATTGAAGGCTGAGTGGGATTTAAATTGAAGTCAATCAAGATTAGTTCTATGGATCTGATCTATGGAGCGAACTAATAAGTAGTTGTTGTTAATTGTCGTTTATATATTTAATATAAAACCTTGTCACCAGGTGGCGCGTTTAGTTGTTTGTGTAATTAATATAAATTTGCAACTTTAAGGCTCACTATCTAACAAGCTACATCGATATATAGCGTAGTGGATTAAGTTGTTAATCCACTATATATATCGATAAGCTTTACAAAAATCAGTTACCAAATTTCGACTCCTCAGAAATAAAAACAGAGCTATAGACTTTTCTACGGTAAGAATACCAATTCAAAGTAAATTTTTGAACCTACAAATACATCGGTTGTGAGGAAACAGGTGTGACAGTTTTATCAAGAGACTATACATAGACATATTAACCGCTTTATAGTATAAATTATTAGTTTCCTCAAATTCATTAAGACAAAGTTAGTTCCATACCATTATGAAATGCTGTGTATTTTTAAAGCGTTGAACTAAAATAATATGTATAATAAATCAAATTTAATATAGAAATTTCTTTGGACTTAGGAAAAATTTTTTTTTTTGAATTTTAATTTGAATTAAAGTTAATTTTATTATTCCATTTAAATATGTATGGTATATGATAGTGCATGGAATGTACTTATAAATATTAAACATTCATCAGATACGGATTATTTAATCATTTCATTAATTAATTTATAGAAAATTAAATCAAAACAAAATTATTAATAACAAAATTCCCAATATAAATTAAAATCTTTAAATTGCAAATTTTTATTACAAAAAATATGTTAACAATTTTATTGACACACTTTGGCTAAGCTGATGAAGCTGAAGAATCAATAAAACTACAAAAGGCGGCAGTCGCAAGACACGTTGTTGTAGTCGACGAGCATTTAGGGTTTTCCAATAAAAGTTTTGCATAAATTATATACAAAAAATAAATGTTGACAAGATCAACCAAAAAAGAAAAGAAAAAATGTGATAAAACGTTACAACGAGGTTAGAGTCTACAAAAGTAAGAAAAAAGTGAGCGTAACAAAATTTTGGGGGGTCGGCGCAGTTCGCTAAAGCTAAGACACGACGTCGGCAGATCAGCTGTCAACACCATGTGTATTACCTTACAATCAGTGCAACTTCCCAAACCATTTATTTATTTATTTACAAATTACCAATGTACAAATATTTTATGTTCTAATTTTTAATAACATGCTTTTTATTTTTTTTTTTTTATAATCGATGTCTTTTATCTGTGACACAAACGTGCTTGCTTCTGTACTTTTGTGCACAGGTTATTTGTATTTTGTAACAAGCGAAAGTAGCTAATTTACACGTTACACGAAAACCCATATTACATACGCCTCTAAGGGGCGTGGTATTTTAATTAAATTTTAGACAGGAATAACTTACAAGTTTTATTTTAAGTTGTTCGCTGAAGTAGTTTTTCCACTTTAATAGCGATCATGCCGTATTAAACACACCACTTCACAACGCACCACACCGCACTAACACCTTACATACCAATGACATCTATAAACATTTTTTATTGAATGTGCTACACATTGAGGTTAGGAGCTAAGCTTAATTCAGCCAAACTATACGGCGATTTGTTTTATTTTGCATATTTATTTATTATTTTATATATTAATACACTTTCACATCCTAATATTTTCTGTACTCATCTGTCTTTTAACTTTGACCTACCTTACCACCTTGTTAAGGCATCCAGTTTTCCTTGTGCACGAATTTCCCTTTCCCCTATTTCAATTCATTTTTGGCTACTTTCAGTCAAATTTTTTCACATTTCAGTTTTTTTGTTGTATTGAAAGCATTTTATTATGTTCTTGTGTTCTTAATATATAAAGTGATTTTAAAACTAAGATATATAAGTATAAAAATTTAACTGATGCATTCGTACAAAAATTATAAGAAAAGTTACAAAATTTTCCTTTGCAGGCACACACAATTTTTTGACATTTGTTTGTTTAACGAAGAGTTTGTAATAGATTAGGTTCGGCTTGGTGCTACAACTCAAACTGACACTTGCTAAACATTTGACACACTGTGGATACCTGCATTCCAAACATTCCAACACTATAAAATTAAATTAGAAAATTTTTGGTAAAATTTATAAACATGTAAAAAAACTAGTTGGTAAATCTTTCACATGCAATAAAAACTTTAAATATTTGCATAAAATGTATAGACGCCGAGATGTATGTATATTGCATGATAAATCACGTTATGGAACACATTTATGTTTAGAGTTAAATTATATACCATATATGCCGTATGCGGGTTCATTCAAATTGATGCTAAGTTGAGGGAAATAGTAAATTATGTCGGTATGGCAGTAAATGTTCGTATTTACCAGAATTTCGAGTAGGGTAAATTAGGTAAAAATTAGGTAAATTAGATATTACCATTGTATAAATTTTATAAGATGTTTAATAAATAAATAAATAAATTTGTAAACTTTTTACTAAAAATAATAAATAAATGGAGTAAGTGCACAGTAAGTAAGTGCAGTGCAAAAAATCCCTAGAAAATTTAAATTTACTTTATCTTAATTTACGTGAACTCTCATACGATCATAATATATAACAGGTCTTTTCCACGAGCTACTCGTAGTAACTTTGAGTAACACTGTGTATACACAAGTGCATTGCACTAGCAAGGTTTCGAGTAAATGAGAGCATCTGAGAGAGCGTAGCATCCCCGTCGAAATTTAAAAATGCTATACGGACTTTACCCGTACATTTAATTTCAAATAAAATTTGTGTAATGTGTGAATCAGTTGTTTTGGTTTGAATTTAAATTTTTGTATTGTTTATTTGCGCGGCACTGGTGTCCTCACCAGATTTTACACAAAGCTGTTCCATTCAAATCTGTATAAAGAGCGTAATTTGGCACTTTATTTATGATACGCTCTCAGTTTGTACTTTACTTGTGTGACATTTGAATTTTACTACGAATAGCTCGTGAAATAAACCTATTATATTAGCCGTAATTTTTTCTTTTAGAGTATAAAAAAAAATACTACCAACTTACGAAAGAAAACATGTGAAGCAACAACAATGCTCTTAAAATCTTCAGAGTTAGGTTTTACTCACAAAAATTTTTAAGTCTTAAGTTTTAGTGCAGCCAATTTCAAAAATCAGCCTATTGTGAATGTTCACTGCAAATATGTTGTAAAATTCCAGTCATCCATAAATTAGTGCTAATACTTAAGTAAATAAATAATTTTAATAAATAAAATGCAAATGGCTATAATTGCTTTTTTACTGATCATTTTGTTTTCTTTTATTTAAATTAATTAATTATTGGTGTTTACAATTCTTATTTTTCATTTTGTGCATAACAACAAAAAACATATGTCAAAAAAAAGTATTTGACATATTTCAAAGGTGATGTCACTTTGTTTCAACCAGACTTAATGCTGTTTTTTTACAACTCTGAAAGAAAAAATTTCGGCTATTTTATATTATTTGTTATACATTACGAATTATATACTATATCCTATATTATACTATGTTTCCGCTGCTTATACTATGTTCAGACGCTCATTAATTTCACAAAAATCTTAATTTCGTTCCAGCAAAATTAAGTTGTCTGAACATAGAATGAGTAAGTTATTAAATAGTACGTTTCCACTGGCTTCGTTAGACTAGTTATTTATATTGATATTATATTACTTTATATATATTGTTGTTGTAGTAGTTTTGTACGACACAAGAAAATAAATATATGATTGATGATTTAATATAATTATATAAATCATTTATATATATGTGTTTTTTATATATATTACGTATTTAATATAAAAAGTACACTAAAAATAGAAGCAATTTGCCATATCTTAAAGTGAAGCATCAAAAGTTTGATTTCCATCATAAGAGCATTGTTTTCATATAGTTGAAAATGTTCATATATAACGTCATGCCACTACTAGTCATAAATAATATATTTTCGCATGTCAATTCATGATAATGTCGCATGAAAAGTGATCATGACTTGCTATATAATCTTGTTCGCCGTAAATATAAAAATCTGTATAAAAATATGCTAAACAAGTTAAATAAGACTGTGTGAACATTTTATATATGTACATACCAACATCAAATAAAGTGCCGCATTGAAATCTTAACCACTATATATGTTGGGATTATAGCCAGATTCCGTTTATCAATCCACTTTACTATTTATATTAGTGATAAAAGATTTTTTTAATATCACAGCCTCTTAAAAATTTTTAATAATTATTAAAACCAAACAAAAATTAAAGTAAAACGTAATAAAAATAGTTAAAAGCAATTTTCCTTCTTTAATAATAAAACCATTTTCCAACACTGTTAAAATTGACAACCGCACTGACATATGAAAATAATTTCATGTTTTAGATACCAGCTGTCAGAATTGTGGAAAAAATTGTTTAACAGTATTTATTTTTTAATTTCAGTAAAAATTTGTTTATTGTATATAGACTGTTGGTAAGTTGTAAATACAAAATTAAAAAATTTTTAATATTTTGTGAATTTGTAACGCAAGTAAAATAAAATCAATTGGAATCTGCAAGTGATGTGAGAACAAAACTATAGCAAAACGCAAACTTTAGATGTTGGCTGAAGTTGGTTATTCGTGTTAGAATGTCCATTAACAGCATAACGAGGTGGCTCATCTATAAAATAATATTTTAATTATCGGATTTATTTTAAATATAGTTAACTGTTTATACCATCAACTTGTATGGACTTTTCATTTCGGCAAGAAATGTTTTTGCTTTTAGCTCGCATGTCGCTAAAAAATTGACGCACTTTGCCTTTTCCGTCTTCTGCTTCATGCTCCACGTAACGTTGTGTGGCCATTACTTCATCACGTAAAGCACGTTTACCACGTTGAATAGCGTCATCTGACTCATTTTCAAAAGGATTATTACTTTCAAACGGATTCGAACCTTCAAAAGGATTGCCAATAGAATTTTGATTTGAATTAACCGAAGCCGTTGTACGTTCATCATCCTCACCTGTTGTGTTCGTTTTTGCGCCACCGTCCTTTGAAGAGTTGTCATCTTCATCGGGCGTTCGTTGCGTTTGTTGTTTGCCATGTAACAGGGAAGATAGGTTTTCCTTAGCGTCGTGCATGCCATGTGATATCTTTGAGGCAACTGTGTCCACAGCATATTTAGTATTGTCAGCAACCTTGAATAATGCATTTTCAACCGCAGTACCTACAGAACTTCTTGCGTTATCTGCTGCTTTAATGGCATTGTTGCCTGCATTCTCAACTGCTTGCTTTGCATTGCTACCTGCATTTTCAACTGCCTGCTTAGCATCGCTCGCCATGCGTTTAGCATTTTCACCGACAGATTCTACAGTTTCACGAGCACCAGTAGCTGCATTTTTTGCAGCAGTTTCTACAGTTTCACGTGCCCCTAGCAATTTGGCTTCTACTTTTTCAGTGAACGTGTTGGTCTTTTCTTTTGTTTCATTTATGTCCTCCTCTATGGCCGTCACTGCTTTATATTTGGCTTTGTCTATGTCTTTTTCAATCAAGTTGACGGTCTCCCATGCATCTGTTGCAGTTTTGTTGACCATATCTTCTGCTACTGTACGTGTTTCCAAATATTTTGTTTCTATTTTATTATTAAGTTCATCTACTTTTTCCACGGCATTTTCTTGCAAATCGGTTTTTATTTCCTTAACGTTCTCGACATGCGCATCTATTTCTCGTTCCAGTTTATTAAGTATGCCTTCAGCCTCCTTATATGTTTCCTCTGCTGCTTCATGTATTGAACCGTTGATACTTGCAACGTCAATATCACTTTCTTCTTCCGATTCTTCAGTAATTTTTTGTTTCACATTTGCAGTTACATCAATGCCATTATTTATAAAGCGGATTTCATTTACTAATATGGTATGGTCTAAAGCATCTCGGGTTGTGTTAATTTCTACAGTTAGCTGCTCATCTTCTTCGGTAGGTGGAGTTGGGGATGATACTATTGCAGTTATTGGTGCTAAAATAAAATGAATAAAGTGTTAAACATTTTTTGTGTTCTCACTTTATAATATTTATTAATTACTAACCTGTTTCACCATTAACGCTTTCTGGTATATTTTCTAAACTATCTACTAAAGCTGGGGAAGTGTGTTCAATGTACTCATGATTCATAGCTGCCTCATATGAGTAGTTACGCAAAGGTGTACGCTTTAGAGCTTGAGGAGTGCCACCATTGCTGCCTTCGGGATATGGTGTGCGTGGACGTAATAACTTACTACTGGAATCAGCTTTTTGTAGCACAGCTGGCTCAAATTTAAGAGAACGAATCGACTTCCGTGACTTAATAGACTCTGTCGGCGATTTATTGTTTGTTGAACCTTGTTTTGCATCGTTTAAACTTTCCTCAAGTTTAGCGGTGCTATTATTATTTTCTGCTACGTTTGTAATTTCTACTTTCTCAACAATGTTGTCATTTATGTTTTCATTATTATTCATCTCTCCGTTGCCTATGTGTTCACCTTCGCCATCAGCATTTTGGTTTTCCTCATTTTTGACTATTTCAATCATATTGTTAGTAACTAAGTTACTGCTAACAAGTGCATCATTTTCATGTACTGGTGTATTTGGTTTTGGAGTTTCTTGTCGTTCCGCATTTACAGCGGAGATATTATTATTGTTCTCATTAACTCCTTCTTCGCTTTCCTCTAAAATCTTATCTCTAGCAATCTGTCGACCACTGTTAGTTCTGCTACCATTTCCATTAATAACGAAACTGCGACTCATAAAGCGATGTTCCCCACTTGGTCCAACAGTTACTGACAATGTGGATGATTTTGGTATTCCGTGCACAAGTATATGTTGATCTCCGACTGCCATATCAATAATACGAAGATTTTTGAATTTTGATATTTCGCGAAATGTCTTTAAATGATGACCGCTTTCAGAAAACGTGGTATAAAACTTATTTGCTTTAGTTAGCACCGTGTAAAATGAGAAACCTTTTAGTAATTTCCAAATTGGTCCATTTTCTTCGCTATCATAGTCGTAAAAACGTTGAAAAATTAAACTTTTATTGCGTAGTGACTCTATACTACGGTAAATGCTACCAGAGTTTGTTACTATGTATATTTCACTTGCTTTGGATATGTGCATAAATATAATCTGCTCCGTGGATGATAAATTCTTTTGGAGTTCTGTGAATTGTGAAAATATAAATTCGTTTAACCTTCCGGTAAGATATAGTCCGCCATTTTCAGTTAGTACTAGTGTTGATTCAGGGCCACAAGTATATTGTTGTATAGGTGAGTCCAATACAATTTCACAAGGCTGATGCATAACTTCATTGCTAGTTGTGCCTAATTGATAATTTTCATTGGAACCCCAAGCAAGCAGGCGACCAAAACCTAGAATATAATAGACAAAGAGATACGTATATTATTTTTATAGTCCTAAATGAAATTATTATTAGATCATAATTTAATTTTTTGTGATCATCTAGTATGTTTCTGTATACTAGAATGTTTTCTGTATACTAGAAACATACTGTTACTGTTTTATCTGTTAAATGTTAGATGATCATGGTGAGTTAAATTCTTCTTTATTATATTAGGTTATTTAAAATGAAGTGATTGATATTAAGAACTGTATAATTTTTAACTACTATTAATATGTTTGGTAAAGCGTAGGTCTGGGTGTATGACATCAAGCAGTTTAGATGAAATTATCGCCTTTAATTGATGTTATATTTGCTATTGCTGACTCTTAACATTCAAACTAACACCTATTAATTAAAGACTTGCTAATTACTGTAGACTTTTATTACCAATGTGCAATATTTTATAGAATTTTAGAAAGTCTAGAAATCTATTTTACTATTAGTTGTTTTTGTAATCACTTTGTCAATGATCTGCCACTGATACCGAATTCATTGTATTTTATAAGTTTTTTAGTTAACTATTAGTTGTAATAACATCAAAAATATAATAGGTAGTTTAAATAATTATTCACCTATAATTGGTGAACAAATTTGGAATGTAAAAATAGACAAGAGAAGCGGAAAATAGAAAAAGAGATGAAAACAAATGTTTAAAGAAGCATCGCATAAAGAAAGTTTCGTTAAATAGTTACTTTTTATGTGACAGAATTCATAACCGATATACCTGATACCTGAGCGATAAAAACGGTAAAAGATAAGCAAAGTCTGCACAACTTCATCAAAGATTAGAAACCACTTAATTGAGATTCTTGAAATTGAAAATGATTATTTTAAAAATAACAATTACCTATACGACTTTGATTTCCCACGCCCATTTGAAACGAGGTTAAGTAAAGTCATCTATTCTGAACAATTTTTTAATCACGTTCTTGGCAAATGAAGCTTAGTTTTCGAGATTTCGGCCTTTAAATTTAGAAACTTTTACATGGAAACCACTAACAACAAATAGACGCAGTAAATGTTCTTTAAGTAGTGAGTAGTTGAATAATGAAAAATATTGTATATAATACTATGTCTTGCACCAACGCCTTGCTGATGGTGGGCGACTATACTCTCGGATCTGTCAAAGATTTTATCTAGCTTCGCAAAGCCGTGACATACAATAACAATACTAACTTCGAGACCAGAAAAAGAATCATTATTGCCAATAGGTTTTATTATGGGATGAGTAAGCAATTGGGATGTAGAGGTGTTTCTCTCGACAGACAAATCTTATGCTTTATAAGTTACTCATCCTACATGTGCTTCTGTTTAAGGTAGAAGTATGAACGCTTTAACAAAATGATGAAACAGCACACGTCGTTTTCGAGAGAAAAATTCTTAATAAGATCTTTGGTCGTCTGTGAGTTGGCGACGACTACTGCATTCGAATAAATCCAAGCATCAGCTGTACGATCTTTATCACGACATTGATATACTTTAGAGAATTAACATTCAGCGGCTTCGCTGGCTTTGTCATGTCATGAAAAAAAAATGTTCCGAAAAAGGTTTTTAAAGCGGTAGTTGGAGGAAGAAAGTGTAGTTATGGTGAATGAAGTAAGAAGGTGAATTGGCGTGTGTAGTTTTTTTGTTAGTGTAATCAGTGTTAAAATCTCTAGAGGTAAGTTATATTGGTTTATAACTTAGTGGAGAAGGTTTCTGAAAATATTTGATAATTATTATGATTATTATGATTTGTTGTCAATTGGGCGTGCACGGGAAATAAGAATTACATCTAATTTAGCACTGAATAATATTTCACTGATGAATAAAAATTGTTGCATCGATAGACAAACAGTTCATTGATTGAAAATCGTTATTTAACTGTCGACCAATACTATTAACTTTTTTGAAAAATTTGTCAATAAAAGAAAACTGCTTTACGGATACATAAGCCATCCAAAAAGCTTGTATTAAGATTTTAAATCAGTGTCATCTTAGAGGCATTAACTTAGCTTTAACTCATCCATATGTTACGATTTTTTGACACGATATATTAATACAAAAATCTACATCACAGCCTCACTATACCTATTTCTAAAAATTTATGACTGCTTTGACACGCATGTATCTTATATTATTCTGATTATTTTTGAATAAACGCTTAATATCTTGTCTCATTTAAATTATTTAATGTTGGGAAAATTTGTTCTTGTAAATTGATTTTATTTAACGTTTCTATTGATATAGTTTTTTTCTCAGAAAAAATTTTAAAATATATTTTCTATACTTTTAACACGCGAACTTCACTTACTGCCCACTTAGATGAATTTTACTGAAAATGTCAAATTTTCTAAATGAATTTTTAATACAATTTTTCAATTTTAAATCAACTTTATGTAGTTTATTACATTAGTTAAACATGAAAATTGTGCATTAGTCTTTCCACATCATTCATACGTGCTGGAAATATCCATTCATGACCATGGGACAACTAAGCTTACGTGCGAAATAACTTGATTTTGTTTACATTTTAAAAATAATTTCTATTCTACAATATTTACAGTACAAAGCTTTTCTACTCACTTGTCATAACGACGAAGTGCTCATGTCCTGCCAATACACTCACAAAATTTTCCGTCTCCTCGCTATTCGATAAACATTGGTCAAACTCCTCCAAACGAAATGGTTTGCGTACAATGGAGCAGGACTCATTAGACACTGTTGCCTCGGTAAAGTTGCGTGCAACATTTGTTTCGTTAGCGAAAACATTTTGTCCGGTAAAGAAGAGTTCATTGGAATCTGCAATGGATACAAAATAAAATTTCTTCCTTGTTTTTAATATTTAAAATGTTTTGTTTACTTCTGATGTTTTGTAAATTCATTTGGTTGGACTTACCACATAGTGTTTTGTTTGTTAAACTTACATGTCAGTATAACCGCCCAATTGCTTCCAAATGCAATATCGGCAATTTTCAGGCCTAAGGCTTTCAACGATTTAACGCAGGTGGGTTTCGTGATTATTTCGCCGTTGTTGTTATTGTTGTTGTTGTTGTTATGATTGTTTGTGTTGTGACTGTTACCTCCGATGCCCAACTGACCGTACTGGTTCTCACCCCACACAAAAAGTCGTCCTGATTCTGTAATTGATAGCACAAATTAAAGTTAATTTTGTTTTTGTCCTTTAATGTTTTAATGGTTTTTGCGGTTTCGTAGATGTCTTCAACGAATTTCTGTGATTATTTTTATAAAAATAAAAGAAAAAATATTGATTTATGTGTGGAGAGTTTTACTACATGCACTAAAGTAATTTGTTTTCCTTTGTCCAAAGTTGTTCTAGTGACCTATTTTATTACAATACAATTCAAGTTAGCTATCAATAGAGGAGTTAATTTAGGTTTCAATAATAGAAAAAATATGTATTTTAATAATAAAGTAAACTTTAATAAAACTATTATTATTATTTAGAAATATTATATGGTTTCGTACGATTTTATTATAAGTTACAGGTGTTAAGTGGTTGGATCATTGATATTTTATCAACTGATGAACATCCTATATAATATGATGGTTAATATATTAAAGTTATTTTAAAAATACTGACTTCATAAGTTTCTAAAAATAATTGCGATAAGATTTTCGATCCAAATAATTTTTTTTTTGCCACATTTAGCGATTTACCATAATTTAGCAAAGAATCATTCTAAGACTGATTGTCTTAGAATGATTAATCTTATTTATTTTTGGTAATTAATTTAAGAAAATTGAAAAAGTTATCAGTATATAATTTTTTAACTCTATATTATTTTATTATATAGTTCTAAATATTTTTTTAAATTTTTATTAGTTTTTCTTATGCAGTTAATTTGATCTATTTCCTGCTAGCCGAACAGTTAAATTGACTCTCATTTCCGGCCGGCTTAGGGACGTTATTGATTTAGTGTTGTTATTATTTAATGCAATAAGTAATTTGGTATTTATAATTTGGCAGTCAATAAAAAATCCAACCAAATTTACATTTGCTATGTGTTAAAAATTTATTAATTAATTTTAACATTATTTCAATTTTATCTTTGTATTTGAAACTTATTCGTTATTTGAACAAGTTACATTTACAATAAAAACGAGTTTGTATTAAGAAAAATAAATTTTACGACACCTGCATTACAGTGATAAGGTTGAGCTATATAATATTGTAGTTCAATTCATAGGATAATTTATATCGAATTAAACCATACATTGTGACCGAAAAGTTTCCGGTCATAAATAAATAAAACGCAAAATTCTTAATCTTCATCAATATTTATTTTATCTCCTTCAAAATATGCTCCATTAGAAGCGATACACAAATGCCAACGTTTCTTCCAATCATCAAAACATTTTTATAGGCGCTTTCCGGTATGGCTTTGAGTTCCCTCTGCGAATTCTGTTTTACGTCTTCTATGGATTCAAAACGCGTTCCTCTGAGTGGTAATTTGAGGTTGGGAAACAGGAAAAAGTCACACGGTGCAAGATCAGGTGAATACGGTGGCTGTTCGATGGTATTTATTGAATGTTTGGCCTTAAAATCGTTGATAATGTTGAACAAATTGAGGTGAATCGGAACAAGCCGAGCGTTGACACGTCGCATACACAAATTGTCCACCAAAATCAAACGAGCCATCTCACGACCGATGCCTAGCTCTCGTGCTATCTCTCTAACACTCACATGAGGATTTTGGAACACGATTTCCTTTGCCTTTTCAATGTTTTCGTCGGTGGTAGAGGTCGAAGGTCGTCCAGAACGCGGCATGTCTTCGACGGTCGTACGACCGTCCTGAAAGGCTTTGTACCACTCATAAACTTGAGTTTTCGATAAAACTGATTCCCCATAAGCCTTTTGTAGCATTCGCAACGATTCTGCACACGAAATTTCGTTCGAAACACAAAATTTGATGCAAACTCTTTGTTCAATATTTTTTTCCATTGTTTTTTTCGCAACGCACTACTGAGGTGAACTGGTTTCAACAGCTGCCGTAAACGAACTGTCTGACAGATCGCGCTCATTTTTGGCATAGTAATTAAGGACAGTGCTGCCAAACTACATAAACTTAAAATATCGAAAAATATACAGCGCGCGAATTTTAAATGAGAACCTCCGAAAACCTTTCGGTCACAATGTATATGCTAAAGCAAGAAATGAGTGAGTAAGACAAAAAAAGTCTCTTAGCTCCATCTACTTTTCAAACTATATTATAATTCATTTTAGTGGCACATTTCTGAGATAGTGTCATACTTTGGTAAGATACACACTCCCTGCAACCACTTAGCCACGCCTTTAGATATGTGCTATTCGACTTTTAGACTTCAGCATAGACTAAAGTGACCTGCTGTTATAGCACATGAACACTGTACAATAGGGAATTTGAAAAAAAATTTTTTTGTTGGTAAAACTGATTAAATTGATCACTTTTCGAAAAATTAGTATTAGTATACATACAGTTAATATGGTTTAACTTTTGTTATTCAGTTTAAAGTTTAAAATATTTAAAGAAATTAACAAACCACTGATATAATAATATTAGTGATATGTTCAATAAATACTGCTGGTCTTAGCGGACAAAGTGCTAGGGATGGTTCAATCACAACAGTCCCTTATCAAGATCGAACATGCTTTATTTTTCGCACAAGTCAGATTACTCGAACATAGAATATGGGTCTTATTCGTATGCCTAGCTGTGTGGTTAGATATAAAATGCCAATTGATAATTTTTATTTTTATTATTATTTTCTTCTCTATACTAGAGGCAATTTTTTTCTCTTTTTTCGTTTCGAAAAAAATAAATTCTTTATTTTCGAATAGTAGGGTATACAATCTTTTGAGTAAAATTACTATCCTTATTCAACAATTTTTCTATTTTTATAATCTGTGTTATAAAAATTTTGATGAACTGAAGATGCCTTTTTTACTAATAGTATAAAGGGTTTAATACAGTTTTATTTAATTATTAGACATTTTATTGTTTATAAATGTTTTATACGGTCTCATACACTGACTGGATTTCTAAGTTAAAAATAAACATATATAGACAGATATACGGACCTATTCTGTGAATAGATTTTATAATGTATTTACTACATTACAATAATATGAATTTATGTTAGCTACACACTATGATTATTGTCCTTAAAGACATGGAAAACTGTGGTCGACTGTTACATTATAAAACGATTAAACACTTCTGGATATGTCATAATTTACAAAGCCCTTAAATTGAAATATGTCCAAAAAACCAGAAGAGCAGTTATAGAAAGTTTTAGAAGAACTGGTTTACTAGAATCAAAGAAGACATACAATTTTATAAAAGTCCTTCAAATATGTATGATGATTGGCAAAAAAAAATATTGTTCATTTCTCTTACTTCGCTTTATAACCAATTATCAATTTACTTAGTTATAATATTTTAAAATTATAGTTATTATTTTTAATTCTTATTCAATTTTAATTGAAAGGACAAAGTTCCCTTTCTATTCATTTATTTTCTTTGCTTTTAATTGTTTTTCCAACTTTTTTTAGCTGAACTTAAATTTTTCATGGTCTAATCTTAAGAAATAAATTAATGTCACTTTTAAATTTTCGTGTTAACTTTCACTTTGTTTTAAACTTCAAGTAAAAATACTTTCCTTTTCTATTCGAGTTGCAAAACGAAAGAACCTATAGAGTTACCCTTAACGCCAAGTTTAATTTTAAAAATGAAAGTTCTTGAGATTAGCCACGACATGCATGCCTGCCAGTTCACCAAATGAGCAAATTTAGAACTATTTCTCTATACGATACATGATGTGGAAAATATTTATAGTTGATAAAATTCATTTAATGTCACATATTTTGTAATTTATTTAAACTTTATTTCAAAAATTTGCCATTACAAGGACTGGTTTATATAAAAATTAAAAAATAAAATGAATATGGCAATTTAAATGTTTATTAAGAAAGTCAAATATGTCTAAAAATATTTTCTAAAAAATTGCGTCAAAGATCAAAAACTATTCTCATCTTAAATCTAAAATCCATCATGATAAAAATTGTCGATCCTTTTTTAGAGCTTTGCCATCAGAAAAGTCAAACAAATAGTATTTGTCAGACACTAAGACAGAGCAAATCCTCTATTTAAGTTTTACAAAACTCAACTCTCATTGAAAAATTTAAATGAGTATAATTAATAAATTTGATAGATGGCATCAAAAACCGTTGATCATCTAGTAAATTCTTATCACTCATTAAGGAATTTTTAGAGCATAATTGTTATAGAAATGGCTAGAAATATCTAAAAGTACTTGATAGTCATTTTAACAAAACCTATGATCTCTTGTTAAAGTGCTAGTGTTCATAAACATGAATAGTCTAATAAAGAAAATACAAAACCCCAACCCAATCTTGCTCTAACAAACTTTAAGTCCACCTCAGGACGCACAGGACGATATGCTGATCTACGGTTCGTCATCAATTAAAAGATAAATAAATGATAATAATTTTAGTATAGTTAAAGCTTAGTGTGGGGCAGTGATAAGCCCCCCAACCACAAAAGAGTAAAAGTGCGCAATAGCACTAACTCAAATCACAACAACAACAACAACAACAACAACAAAACCTATGATCTCTTGTTAGAGTTTTATTATTCAAAAAAAGAAAATAAAATCAGCATAATAAAAATTTTTAAAAAGGTTGATACTTGCAACTTTTGGTCAGTCATCGTGACTGACCGCTGATCCCCTATTGTAACTTTATTATGTATTCAGTAAGTCGAAAGAGTGTTTTTAATGTTGCAAATAACGACTTCATATAATCAAACTTTTTTACTATGAATAGTCACAAAAAAACATTCTTTAAATAAATCAAATGACCATGAAAAATGTTTCCAATAACGTCATGAAATATCTTGAATTACTTGTTAGTCATTATGACAGGAAACCCTTGATCCCTTATTATCTTTCATCAAGAATATCACACTGGCCCAATAAAGTCTATAAAAATGGTGTCAAATATTCGGAACTACATATAAGTCATTAGAACAAAACACCGCTGATCTCTTAACAGGATTTAACTATTTGGAAAGTGAAACAATCACAATACTTACTTGTAAGTAATTGGCACAGAAGACCGCTGACCGCTTATTAGAGTATTCCTATTCATCGGAGAGAAGTAAAAAAAAAACAAAATAAAATAATTCGTTTTTCAATACAACAAATAAAGAGCTCTTCGAAAATTCCCGTGAGTGTTAAAAGAAGAAGAGCAGAATGACGATCTATAACGGATTTTCTGTGACTCCTTGTTAGAGCATTCTTATTCATCGAAAAAGTCAAAAAAAAAAAATTAAATAATTCGTTTTTCAATAAAACAAATAATTAGCTTTCCGAAAAATTTTTTCGATTTCCGTGAGGGTTAAAAAAAGAGAGCAACACATAACTGAATGACAATCTATAATGGATTTCCTGTGTAAATCAATATAAAGATCATTATATTCATATAACTTAAGCTAACACAAAAAATAATTTGTGACTCATTTGAACCATGAACCATGTTAAAAATGAATAATAATTTTTTGGATTAATATTGTGAAGATGGGTAGGATTTTAAAGAGTCAAGAGGCTAAATTTATTCGAACCAAAAACCAGAGAAGAGTGTTATTTCCCAAATCAAAATTTTATGACAAGAAAAAGGTGTAAGTTTGGTAGTTTTAACAGCATTTAAAAAAGAATTAAATTTTAATAAGTAAATGTTTAGGTTTTTTTTTTCAGCCGATGTAATATTTGTTAAATATTTCTATTCATTATAAATTCAAATTGCTTACTTCCGACCATTTAATGACTGTACATGCAATAAATTATATTTTACGTACCATACAAAAATTCTCATTTAAATTATTCATAATAAATAATAATTTTGACTTATGTACTACATGATTTATGTATTTCTTGATTTACCGCATATAACTGCACTCTGATGCGGGCCTGATATCAGACGTTTTATCGGATCATTTTTTATATAAAAATAACTGTGAGTGTTTTCCGCTAAATACGATTTGCCAAGTGTGAAAATGGCTCCAGTATTGGGTATATCCATTGTGTTGCATATATGATTTGTTGATCAATTTCTTATTTATTATTTGTGCGAGTATAATATTTGCATAACTAATATAGCATAGAAGTATATAATTAATACTTCTATTTTACTTTTTTTATTTATTTAGTTTATAAATAAAACCATTAAAATCGATTGATTTACTTTTTAGGTATATGGCAAGATAAAATAAAAACACACAAAATATAGTCTACTTTTAGGTGCTACACTTTAAAAAATTATTTCACACAATTGCACAAATTTATTTTGAATATATTTTAAAGAGAAAATTTGCTCTTATTTTTTGTACTTGCTATATGTTTATAGACTGTATTGTACGAGCGGCTCGCGTGTTTGTTATTATCCGTTCTATTGTGTCAGGACTTGTGGTCAGTTAGACGATTCGTTGTGTACTGGACGTACAACACAATTTCAATTAACTGCGCCACAACTTCCATTGTCCGCTCATACATATTTTTGCCTTTGGTTCTGACTAAGTGTGCTAGTAGTTAGTTGACCGTTGTGCTGTGCTAAAGGAAGTGGTATTCAACTACTCGGCAATAGCAGCAGTCGTATTTTTGTAAAGAAATTAGAGCATTTACCCTACAACCACCGATTTGTACTAGAAAATTACGACAACAATAGTCAACAATAAAAAATAATAGTTCGCTGTAAGTATTAGCCAACGTGTAACTTAGTTCTACATGGGGACGTACTGACATGCTAGAGGTGAGAGGTGCTGGTGTTTTAGCGTGACTATTTTTTGCCTCCTTAATTCTTTGCACGAAAAAATGCGTTTGATTTTAAACGCTTTTTTTTTTATTTTTCCACCACGTTTGAGAATTTTTTTGATTTTTATTCTGTTTGCTTATAAATTATTTATTTAAGGCAAAAGTGCGAATGTGAGTATTTAGTAGTTTTTATTTTTTTGTTTTTTTTTACAATAATTTATTGCCATTTGTTTGTTTTCACTTCTGTTCCGATTTACGTAGTGACAATAAGAAATGAATTGATTTTTTATTTATCAAAAGAGAATTAAAACTTATAAAAATTAAATTTATTTTTAAATAGTTCACCGATAAATTCCAAGAATTGATCTATAACATTAAAAACATGTTATAGATTGGTTAAGTTAGAAATTCACCTAAATAACCTAAATACCTTAATAACTTATAGAAATAAATTAATTAAGTGTAGGTTTAACCAGTGAAATTATTATATATTATATAAATTATCATTATATACCATATATATCTGCTTAGTTTACCATCCATATAAACGGTGGAATTTGCACGGTGTGATTTGAAAACTGGTTCCATGAACACTCGATTTAAGATTATTATCAGAAATAACGGCATCTTCCCACTAACCTATAATCCTTATATATGTACTTTCTGTTTGCTAAGTCCTTCGTCTCATGATAACTGATAAGGTCTCATGATAAATGATCGCAAATATTAATTAAATCTAAAATTAGTTCATTGTTTCAAAAAAATTTGTTTGTAGTATATAGCTTTATCTTTAAAGAAAGTTATAACTCATTCCATTATATATTATATCTTATATTATGTATTTCCTTTTAACACTTTGCAATATTTATAACATAAATTCTAGGTTTTTCAATGTAATAATAATTTCCATTCCTTCATTCCTTTATAAAGCGTTAGCATATGAATTGTAAAACATAAGAAAATAAAAATTAAAATAAGCAATAAATTAAATAAAAAATTATGTTTGATCCTAATAAATTGCGAGTTTAACTTTACCAAAGACCATATTTACTACAACAGAATATTATGTGTTTTTTTTTTAAATTTTATTTATTAAAAACTAAAAACATCTACACTGTAAAACGTTGAGTTTTCTTTCTCCTTTTATCTATATCTTTTAGTCTTTTTCGTTCTTCTTGCATTTGTTCGATGCTACTCAGTAGTCATTTCTCATATATCTTTTATCACCTGAATCCTTTTATCTTGATATAAAGGGTTTTTACTGAACTTGTTTCTATTTTATTAATCGAGACTTTAAAGCAGCTAACATACCCAATATTTTTTGGTTCTTTGCTTTTCTTGCTCTTGTTATCCTGCATTTTGACCATTGTTTATTTTTAATGCTATACGGGACTGTACAGTAGTATTGCATATTTTAGCACTAACCGCATGCGTGACTAAAGTCAAAGTGTTTACTTCGTATATATATGGATTTAATTTCGTATTGTAATTCATTTGCAGTGTTTGATATGATATTTAAAATGTAATATATACATTCTTAGTGTTGTGTTAAAAGAAGTGCAACATATAGCATTTATGTGCTGTATAGAAGAATTTAATTGAAGTTATTTTTTAAACTATATAAAATAAATAACTGATGAAGTAGATGGAAGTCTGAGAATATATAAGAGTAATATCTTGTAAACTAAAACACACACATCCTTACAAGTCTGGGTATACTTACGAATGCCTACTGTAGACCGCACATCTGCTGTTAGAATGCCCTGCGCTAATGCACATACAGAATAGGATCCTGGAAATGTATATTCTTACGGAAGAAGCAATTAAACTCTGTAAAGTAGGTTCTATACTACTTTTTGTTGATGCAACAGGGCTTAGAGACCTACCATAAATCCAGAAGGGGGCACAATAGACCCGACGGTCGCAGTGCCACATCCCCAAACAATAATAATAACCTTAACAGAAAGAAAGTTAAAATCCAATTTAAATAAATGTTTATTTTTATTGTACGTATTTTTTTTCAAATTTTTTATTCACTAATCAAAGATGTGAACATTTTGATAAATTATGCTTTCCATTAATGAACAATTATTTTCATTTAGTTTTCCATTCAGATTCAATGAGACCTTATTTATATGATTCCAAATTACCGCATTTATTGTTGCCGTAAATTGACCGAATTTCATGTTAAAATTCATATGAGTATAAATAAAATGTTAAGTATTCATTCCGATGTCAAGAAAGTAAATACAGCTAACAAAGTTAACAGTGTTAATTCTCACGTATATTTTTATTAACCTCATTAGTTTGCTAATTTGACATTTGGACGTGTTATTACCAGGTTGACCACATACGACCTGCCGTGGCAGTACTACTTTCTACGAAGAAGTAGTGAAGTGCGTAAACACTTCACTATTCGAATTTGAGCCCATTTTCAGCTCCTAAAAGTAGGCTTCTATTAATTTTGTATTTTAATACGATTTGTATTAAATTAGCATATCTGCGAAGGAGAAACTTCCTAGTTCTACAAACCAATACTTTAATTTCTTTTGAATTACAATATCTACGCACGCAGTCAATTACTCAATTCCAGGCAATAATTAACCACAAATTGTGGCTTTTTGCGAATTTTTATTTCATAAAAATTAATTATTTCGCAATGACCTTTGGTATTTCTTCTGAACTTATTTAAATCAAAATTCCATAGGTTTTTTTAGAAACTGAAGTGTTTCGAGTATTTTTGTTAAATTTTCTAGCTTACTTAGTTCTTCGCTCTTGGCATTTATTACAAAAAAAAAAATTGCTTACATTGAATTTTGTTTTGGACTAAACGAAATAATCGATAAGTTAAATTGAATGTCAAATTGAAATGTATTGTATTTTATTTCATTTTATTTTATTTGTTATTTGAGTAGTACTAAGTATTTACACTATTGCATGCAATTGTCCTTTTATCCGCTTGTTGATCTTTCCCTCTGCCTTTCAGTCGACCTGACAGTTGAATGCTTTGAATGTCTATCTATCAGTTGCCTATTATTAATTTGCATATGTAAGCTTATTTCAAATGTCTTTCGCTAACAATTTACTTAATGAAACTGCCTTGCAAATATGGTAAACTTAATAAAAGCGTACCCTACACACTCACAAATCTATTCTAAAATTCTGTAGTATTTTCATGAACTTTCAAATTATATTCTGTTAAGTTTTTTAGTGTCTTTTAGTGCTAATGGGCGTTTCTATGAGTATTCTACTCATAAACTAAATTTTAATGTTGTGAATTTAATAGTATGTTTCAAATGTTTTTATTTTGAAATTTGTCAAAAAATAATATTAAAATATTGATAAATGGACAATAACTGAAATGAGTTCAGCTAACCTTTGCAGAAGTTCTCCCATCCTTCTTTTAATATAAATTCTTGTTGTCACACTATTCCATCATCCTTGAAAAAATAATATTTCATTTATATCATTGTATACGAATGGCTGGAAAGAGCAGTTCAGACTCATTGTGATAATGCAATTGCCTGCAGATAAGCTAAAGAATTCATGTCGAATCTATCAGAAGCCAGAACTAGGAAGCTTCTAATGCTGAACAGGAAGGGTATCCGACTTATTACAGGGTTTCTTACTGGACATTGCGACGTAAATTGTCGAACGTAGGTATTAAAAGATACGATAGTTGCAGACTTTGTCATGAAGAAAACTGTAGAACACTGTTATTCTTATCAACTGAAGAACTTATCAACTGCCTATCCACTTATAACGGACTTAGGCAACATCTCTCCAAAGGGTATAATGGCATTTCTAACTGCTGCTCGCCTATAACAATAAAGTGAGTTTGTGACAATAATCCTCAAAGGATGCAGTAAAGTGGTGACAAATTTCCAACCCTTTAAAAAACTAATCAAATCTTATACGACAAAACCCTAGGTTTCTTAAAAGAGCAAGGTGAGCTTAATGGGGTTTTTTTTCTTAACCATGTTTGAATATACACTCACTTATTATACACTTATAGATAAATTACATTCTCATTTTCAATTTCATTACATTCTCATTGATATATTCTTTCTTTGTTTTGAAATGATCTAATTTCTTTGATAGCATATTAGGCAGCCTTTCTAAATGCTACATATTTATACAAAGTATATGGATTGTTTGTAGAAGTATAGTTTATTGTAATATAGAACTATGGGTTTCTTGGGTTTTTATCTTTTTATTGTGTAGCTCTCTTCGTTATATAATTATTGCAATAATTTATATATTATCTATAGTAT